GAATCAGTCATCAGTGAATTTAACAGACGTTGTCGTGGTTGTAAGGAGATAATAGACAACCTTTCAGTATTATATAAAGAGGTAAGGTCGTACAATATCAACACTAACATACCGTCACTGTATCGAGCTTAGCCTCCTCTGCAGTCATCACAAAGAATCACGGGCTTCCTGTCTTTTTTGGAAGTCAAAAGAGGGAGAATGGGGGCGAGATTTTTCCTTTCTCATCACTAGTCCCTAGCCTCCAAGATGACCGTTACAAAGGAAGTCCAAAGGAGGAAAAAAGAGTTTCCTGGGGAGGAGGAGGCTATATTGAGCTAAGATCAGCTGTCAAAGATCTTTTACGAAATGCAAAATAATAGTGCATTGTGGCCTAGCTTCAAACAACGCCATATTTGGCAGCATGAACAAAAGATGTTTGCACCCAATGTAGACCACAATGCAATGCAAACGTCTTTCTCAGAAGAGGTCTATGACGGGGGGATTGCTGAATGCTTGACTGAAATGTGGAAGAACTCACGCCACCCCGGGAGAGGTCTATGTACTGGGTGGGCGGAGGCAATTAAGCTAGACGAGTATAGAGAGGCTTGTCTTAACCCCCTTTCCCGAAATTCGCTGTGATCTAACTTAGTTCCATTTAAGTTCTTAAGTCTTGTGGTTCGAGTTTGCTCATCAATCTCACGGGACTAAATCACGTGAAAAGAGGATATTTTATCACGTAAAGAAACTCATTTGTTGAATTCTTTAATAGGAACTTGATAAAGAAATGCGTCATGATATTGGGATTGTTCGTCAACTCGGAGATAAAAAGGATGAAACTTATGCTCGTCAACTCGAGCGAGAGGAGATTAAAGAACTGGAAGAGTCCCTGAAGGTATGCGAACGTAAAACAATAAACAATGAACCCTCAATAGACCCCTTGCATGTGACGTCAAAGCAGCTTCATCTGGAGGACAAAACAAAAGATTTTTATTCCTCTTGGGAACTAGAATCCATTGTTTTGTCCTCCAGTTGGAGCTGCATTCCCATGAACTGCAAGGGGTCTATACCGTCACGAGGCTTTTCCACCTCAACCCACCCCCACCCATCTTTCAGATTGTCATGCTGTCCTGCTATAATCAATTCAAACTTTCTCCTCTTATGTAGGCCATGAATATTGTTTTGAAAGAGGACATTGAAGATATTGACAAACAGGTAAAAATTATTGGCATCGCATTAGAGTGATCGCACTTAATCCGTGC